ACAGGGAACAGTGGGGCACGGATCTGCTGTGTGATCCCTCAGGCCCCCTTAGCCCGGCAGGAGGGGTCCCCGTGTCCCCCCTTATCGCGTCCTCACTGGATTCACCTTGTGGGGAGCAGCTAAGCGCCTGAGCGGACTGGACCTGGGCCTGAGAGGAACTAGGCTGTGGTCAGAAGCATGGAGTAGGAGAAGCACGCGTTCCCTCGTGTTCGCATGGGAAGTACGGCCGGTGTCTGGCAGGGGACGCCTTCCTGAGACACGTGGGAGACAGACATCACGGGAGAATGTCCTACAGACAGCTTGGCTGGCGGAAAGGCTTGGGACATACGCAGGAAAGGGTCGCCCCTAGCTTCTCGCAGCCGAGGAAGGCTTTGCTGCTAATGATGAATTAACGAGAGCAATAATGATCAATAATGTAGTTCCTTGGGAGGGCACCTTCACCTCCACCACTGAAGGAGCTGAACCCCGGGGTTTGGGAAGATGGCAGGATGGTTTGCTGGATGTACTGGAGGATGCTCACGTGGGGAGAGAGAGGAGGGTCCCCTCAGCTTCCTTTATGTCTAAGATCTCCGCCGACCCTCGCGGCCTCTAACGGGAGGCTGCCTCCCGGACGTTCTAACTGCTCGGGTGCCCCCTCTGCCCACCGGGCGCTGGGCAGGTGACACTGTCCAGGGACGGTTTCGAACTCCCCCCCCCAGTGCCCCGTGTTGAGTGCTGAAGGCTCCCACCAGCTGTTGGCCCCTGGTTCTGCCCTCCTGTTGGCATGAAGACCAGAGGGGCCTCCTGCTTTTCCCATGTGTCCGGCAGATGGGAGAGAGGGCTTCGGGGATTCTGTTTTCCTAGTGGGGGAGGGAGAGGTGGGCGGGGGTCCGCTTTCCGGTTTGCTGACTGTCGCCATAAACCACGCAGCCTCTCCAGCCCCGGCTCCTGCCTCGTAAACCGGCTGCAGGCCGCGTCTTGTTTTGTCTGCCTGTCTCCCGGTCAGGGCCCTTATCTTGTCGCGGCTTTTCCCAGGCGACAGCATTATGACCCACTGTGTTTGTGCTGGTGATTTGGGGGGGGGAGGGGAATGCGTACTTTGTTCTCTGATGAGGGGGTCTCACTGCCTTATTCTAGGGGAAACCCCTTGATGTGTTATTTATTTTTATTTTTTTATTGATTTCAGAGAGGAACGGGGGGAGAGAGAGAGAGAGAGAGAGAAATACCATATTAATGATGAGAATCATTGATCAGCTGCCTCCTGCACGCCCCTACTGGGCATTGAGCCCACAGCCTGGGCATGTGCCTCTGACCGGAATCGAACTCAGGACCCTTCAGTCCAAAGGCCAGTGCCCCATCCTCTGAGCCAAACCAGCTAGGGCGTTATTTATTTTTTAAAAAGAAAGACCAACTGAACTAAAGACACCCCACCCCAGCATGTTGAGGAAAGTGTTTGTTAAAGAAAATGCAGGTGCATTTCTATAGCCCTTCCCCCCA